TAGCTGGCCCCTTAGCGTATGTCTTCTGGCTTCGTTTCTTCCAAGAAAAGTCCTGTTTGCATGCTCCAGCTCTGTTTTGCCATGTGAACCAAGGCAGGTTAGCAGGCAAAGATCCACAGATTCATTTCAGCCACTTAACCAATCCAAGCTAAAAGACTTCAGCAGCTGTGCTCTACTGTACACATTCTTAAGGAGAAGAGTAAAGCCTGGAGTCTGGTATGTAAGTCGATGGCTATACAGCTGACTGGAGAGCTTTTACTGTGGGCTCACAGCTGAGCATGTAAGTATCTGAATGTACCTGGTAGGTATCTAACTGAGGTCCCTTGTTTCTGGAAGCAAAATTTGAAACTTTAGGTTTAGTTACTTGCGTTTAAATAGAAATCACTAAGTACCATTACTTCCCACTGGCCTCAGTAGGATGTGAAAACTAGGTTGCTGTATCAGAGAGTAGGAATAAAACCTTAGATTCACTGCTCTGAAAACCCTTAATTTCGTGGTGTAGTGGGACAGTAAAAACTGCTTCTGGTATTGAAATTAATCTTGGGTGTTCTTTCTTAAATTTTATCACTATTCTGCAATGGATTATAGCACATGGGACTTTCTACAGGGATTTATAACAGCTCTTCTCAAGAAAAGTGTGGCTTTTGACTCATCAGTTGTAGCAAGCAGGAAATATTAAATCAGTAAACCTCTTGTTATAACTCTATAGCTATCTCTCCAATGCAGAAAGAAAAGAAAAAAACAACAACAACAAAACCTCCAAACATTTGCACAAACTAGTTTTGAGTCAGCAGTGTGCACTCATACTAACTTCTCAAAATCATTATTTCAAAGTAAAGGTGGCTTTACAGAGAGGATTAGACACACAGAAGAAAATAATTTTGTGTTCTTTCCATGCATAAAAATCAGAAAATAAGCATGGCAAAATTATCATATGTCAGTACAGTGGGAGATTGGAGGAGATTTTACAGTCACCACAGCTGTTATATCTGAGATCTGATTATGCTTTTAAAGATACCAATACATTCAAGATAACACTTCACACACACTCCAATATTCTGAATGCTGTGAATAAGGATATCTTAATGCAAAACAATGAAGAATAATAGGAGTATTCACTCCTTCAGTATGAAATAACTACACATAAAGTATTAACTCAGCTTTTCTAATTTCCTATCATTGCATGTTCAGACTTCACAAAGTGAGCAAATCATACCTGCCATGATGAAATGGATAAGGAATGA